GGGGGGGGGGGTTTCCTCGTTTCTCCGCCCGAGGGACCGCGAGACGCGCCTCTTCGTCTCTCTCGCGGATGGACCGCACGTCTGCCGGTGCGGTGAATCTCGTTTTCGAGACCATCCGTCATTGCCACGAGGAAAATGGGGAAAAGATTGAGACAGATCCCGCCTGGATATTACTTTCCCGCAAGCGAAACGCTGGGGATCCCCCGGGGACTCACGACCGTTCCATCTCTGGAATCACTCGTCCCCCCTCCTCCCTCCTCTTCCCTCCTCTTCCCTCCTCTTCCCTCCTCTTCCCCCCTCCTTCCCCCAGTCGCCTTTTCCTCGGTGAGATCCTAAAGCATTCTTTTTAACCCGTCGAGGAGTGAGTACGGCGAGGGGCACACGACTGCCCTTTCATCGTTTGGGGAAGGACACCGGTATTCCGTGGCGATTCCCCGACGGATGCAGGGACGAAGGAAATGCGGTCGAGTATACGAGGAGTATACGAGTCGTATCGACCCTCGAAGGTACGAAGAAACGAACGCCCGAAGTCGGAAGCCGTACTCGTACGATCGTTCTCCCTAACGGGTTCGACGCACCTGGATTTCCCTTCGAGTACGCTTTTTAAAAAGGCATCGCCTCGTGCTTTTCGTGCTCGCTTCACAATCTCATGGAGGAAACAAGCCAGCCTTTCGGATGGGAAAACGTATAACCGAAGAGAGAAGAGAAAGTGATTACTTTCTCCTCCGGTTTTTTTACCTAGACGATGAATTTTTCGTTCGCGTTTTATCTACGTCTTCCAGATTCGTTTTCTTCGATCGAATTAAGCTCGACAAACTTAAACTTAAAAAAAAAATTAATTGGTTTTTCCTGGATGAAAGCACGGACGTGCTCCAGGTCTCCACGAAGAGCGCGTAGGTCGGGGGTAGTCTCGGGTTCCCTCGACGAGGCGACCCAGTCCGCGCCTCGAGAGGCGGCGAAGGGCGGGGACGGGTGGGGACGGAGCGGATATCCAAGGTTCGCCGTCGCCTTCTCGATTCAAACACTAAATATGACTCATCGAAAGCGATTTTGCTCGAGAGTCGAGAACGATCCGGCCACCCGACGACAGTCCGAGTCGCTTCGGTCGCCGTTGGCGCATCTCTCTAGAATCTCTCCGATCTCCCGACGTCGGGGAACGACGACGCGAGACGAGAGCGCGAGAGATCGGTCGAAGGTCGGTCGAAGGTCGGTCGAAGGTCGGCATCGACTCGCACCGGATCGATTTTTCAATGGAAATGCAGGAATCCCCGAAGTCACGCCACTCGCTGGAGACGAAGGGAGCCCGGATCGACGTCTCCGGGGGAATCGTCGAGCCCACGACGATTTCCACGTCGACGATTTCCACGCGAAGCGAACTTCGTTCCGTCGCGACGAGACGGCCTCGCGGCCCTGGGAGATTCGCGGCGATACGTGGAAGGAAAGAGAGAGAGACGGAAAAGAGGTCCTCGTCGGTGCGAGTCGGCGCCTCCGTTTCTTCGACCTCTTGCAGTCTCTCCCGTTCGGACGAGGAGGATGCAGCCGGAAGCATACCGTTCCGTTCTCTCGAAAGAGGAGCGAATCTTCACGTTCTGCACGCCTCGTCGTCGCGGGTCCTCCTTTTCCCGGACGGCGGCGATCGTCCCGCGCGGGTCTTTTGCGACACGTCGACGGGACCGCGGCCGATTTAAAAAATACGTACGATAAATGAAGTAGTATCGAGGAAAAGGTCGATACGAATACGCGGTGGCAGAAACCATATTCGCGGAAGACGATCGCCTCGCGGTCTCCCGTCCTTCTTGCCCTCCGGCCGACGACGGACCGAGGAGCAAAGAGAACCGCGGAGACCCACGACCTCCACGGTCGCCTTCCCGCGCTCTCGTTTTTATCCATTTTCGCGTGCGACCTTTTTTCGCTCTCGAAACGACCTTCGAGGGAAACATCCGAGACGGATCCACTTTTCGGAGGAACGATCTCGTTCGCGCGACCGAGTTTGGGGCTCTCGTCGCGAGGTGCACGATTCGTTTCGTCGGCTTTAACCGTTTCGACTCCGTCTTCGTCGACGGTGAACGAAAATCGGAGTTCTCGCGAGTCGATCTCGGCATCGTACGATGGGCGAAACGCTACGTTAGGCCCATCGACTCAGCCTACGATGTCGCGACTCCGACACGGTTTCCAAAAGTGAGAAGCCCGTGCCAAAATCGATGCATGACGACACGGAGCGGTGACATTTAGGATGACGCGTCCGGATGAACCGACTCCGGAAAGTCGAAACCGTGGATCGAACCGCGCAGAAGAACGAACGAAGGGACGAGACCGTCGACGACTGCCTTGCGGTCGCCTCCCCGCGGATGCGCTCGGAGACCCTGCACTCGATCGTCTTCTTCCGCGAGTTCCGCACGCGTGTCCCCACGGACCCGACCGTAGGGGGTTCTCGGAGACATCTTCGCCGAGTTCTATACCGACCCGACTCGATGCGATCGCCGTGCATCTCGATGCATCTCCGAGTCCGTACCGAATACCGACCGGTACGCGGTGACCACCACTCCGTCGTGCGAGAGCGTTTCGCTCAAGTGGAAGTCGACAGATCGTCGGCTGTCCGTTACGAGTATTTCTATCGAGAATAGTTCGGTATCGATAGCGATAAAGAAGCCCTTGTAGTACCGAGACGAAGGCGAATACCGCCGATGAAGGGTGAGTGAAATGCTAAATTAGAAATCAAATCGGATGAGAATATATGAACGGATCGTGTAAGTTGGGGCAGATACAAAGCAAATAATTGGACTTGACTCGACGAACCCATGAAACCAAACGGTGATATGTATTATAAGTTCGCCCACCCCCCCCCCCCCCCCCCCCCCCC